TAGCGTTTGTTATAACGTGACTGTGGAAATTAAGTGTATTTCAAAGTTGTACTGTGAAAGAATAAACTAGTTTTATTTAAGAAAGGACTTGTGTCGCTAAAGTTTCATCGGAAAGAAATTATACGGAAAATTAACTAACGACCAGAGACGTAACAACTACATTGCTGGATCTTGACAAACTACAGTATGGACTGTATTTGCCATCGACAACAAGCACCGGTCATTCTAATTTTCAAGTGTTATAATGAAAAGATAACATTGTAAACAAGAACAGCAATTCAGCCCTCATATGATAGTACTAAATAGCAGTTTAAATAAGTTTAAAAGTACAAAATAGAAGAAAGAGGAAAAGAGAAAATTATTCTTTACGACGATAATGGAATATTTATATATATATATACACACACAAATATATATGTGTGTATACTAGATGGCGTAGTTATTCCGAATTAAACCATATGACTTTGACGTGTGTTTATGTCTCATGACATTGTGAAATTGTCATTGCTGTTGTATTATAAAAATACTAACGAGAGCTTTTGTTTAAACGTATTACATAGAGATTTTTAACTTTACTGTAGTTAGTTTTGTTCACTGTGGAATGAGTTGTATGTAATTATTGAAATGGGAGCGCTTTTAAGTATTTGCACAGTTGGGCAGGTATGCATGTTGTTAATAATGTTATATATAATATTATATATATATATATATTAATTTTATATATTGTTATAAAATATAATTAATTAAACCATAGAAAGTAAGTTAAAACATCTGATAATTAACATCATAATTAATATTGATATAATTACTAGCCGCTAGTACGACAATGAGATTGTGAAATGTCAATGTGACATCAGACTATTCTAAAGACTAAATCTAAGATGTGATTTTTATGCTGTTATGTATTAATACTACGAAGTATTATTTTAGTAGTAGTAGTACTGAAGTTGGCTTTATTCTTCTTAGTGTAATTCAACTTTTTTATCCTGTTTCTATAATAATGATAATAATAACATTATTAATATTATTATGATAATTTTTGCATTTTTCAAAAGATTGGAAGGCTTTAAATTTTTAATTATGGGCAACAATAATATAGGTCTTTGGAACGATTACAAATATACCTCAAAATGTTGTCAGCTTATGTAGTTTATACACATACTACTGTTTATGTAATATAACAACCTGAACGAACAATAGGCCTACATCATTATGTGTAACTTCTTTTACGTTCAATTTATGGAACATTGATCCCTCAGACTGGTAGCCTTTCGGAATATCGGCTGCAACTGGCATTGACAGGCATAAACATAGTTCACAAGCTTAGTTAAATTCAAAAGTTGCTGAATGTAGTTTTTTCAATGCTAAACTCTTAGAGTCAAATAGAGTTTAGAGCAGCAGTGTGCAAACTTGTTTATGGTGTATCCCTTTCTAAAAATGTGTGTTGTTACCCCATACACACTGACTCTCTGTGCCTCCCTTGGGTGGCTGGGTGCTCCACAGTTTGCATACCTTGGGTTTAGACTTAAGAGTACTTCAACTAACAGTAAAAATAACACTGCTATTTATCAGTTACATGATTTCTTTGAATTCTGGCTTATTCTTGCAAAATATGTTTAATTACTTAATATTGTGTAAAAAATCTTACATTTATTCACTCAAATTGGCAAAAAACCTGGCTTATTAATTATTGTAAATTATATGATCTATTACTTCTTATTGTTTATAAATATTATATTTTTAATGTATGGAACTGAACATTTAAATTTAATTCAAACAGAAAAGTTTGTTTTGCATGGCCAAAAAAGCTCTGTCACAGTAGTCATTATTTGCATTAGACTTAGAGATATGTATCTAATACAAACATTTTTTCAAGTTCACCATAGATGTATGATTAGGAGTTGGTGAAATGTTAATCATTTCATTTAACCATTTGCCAACTTTTCTTTTTTAGTGGTGTTCATAACTTAAACCAAATATAATTTGAAATATAATGTGAGATAGCAAATTCTACTTTTTATTTTATGTTTTTTTTACCATTCATTTATTATTCCTTTTATCATTTAGTTACATTAAAGTGCTAACTCACCTTCTATCTGGAGTATGTTGATATTGAGTATGTAAGTATTATGAGAATGACACAAGCTTCCCTTAGTGGAAATGTACAGATATTAATGTTATGGTAATAGCTAGTCACATGAGATGTAACCTCATGATCTAACCACTAAATAAAAAGCCTTCCTTGATCTTGAAAATGAAATATAATTAAAATTAGTGCTAATTGTTGCTTGATATTATTCTTGATATTGAAGTAGTTTAATTTTGGAACATTGTGCTGTTCTCTGGTGAATTAGGTTTTTATTCTTTTGGTTCTTTTCCTAATTTTTTTAATATTTATTGAAGTTAATCACTTTGAGATTTATGTTGTATTGTTTATTAACATTTATACCTAGTCCTAGCCAGGTACAGATTTACTAATTGTTTTTCATAAATATAATTTGTATTTTAGTTGTTTAAAATTTTTGTATTTAATATTTCTGTTGTTATATCTAATAAATTGTTTTTATGTTACCATGGTTGTAGTGGCATTTTGTTTAGTCCATTATAATAATAATAATAATATACATATTTTATGTCCATCATTATATATTAAACACAAGCTTAGGTATCCATCCTTTGTCTGGGTTATGAACGTAAAAAAATCTGGGGGGGGGGGTGAATATTATGATAAATAACACAAAAATTCTAACTTTTACACATTTTATTTATAACAATTTGATATTACAGTGTTCATTATTACCTCACCCAATATTTTGTATAAGCTTTAAGAACACAATATGTATATACTTAGAACATGGTACATGCTGTGTGATGGTCAGGGTGACTTTGTAGGAAGAGGTAGAGGCTAAAGTTGCGGCGGTAGGGTTGCTTTCTGTTACCCACTTTGAACATCCAGCTCTTATTGTTCTTCCACACTGTTTCATGTTATTAATTAATTGATGATCAGCTTTGCGCAGAGTTCAAAAACAAAACAAACAATTGATGATCATTGTAATGTCATGGGTCAAAGTAGGAAGTAAGTATAACTCGAGAAATGGCTCATCATATCAGCCTTATGATGGCTGTTGTAGTATCAACTTTATCTGAGTTTATGTGTTATTGCAACAGTGGCAGCCATTTTTTTTTCAGTGCTAGCACACTCTCTGAGATACATAGAATGTTTGTCTGCCCTCCCCCCACACACTGTGGTGTATGTTGTGTAAAGATGTGATGCTATCTATGAACATAGTTAATGTTAACTTACATTGAAGATAATAAATGCTCAATAACAGCAATAATTGGAGATGAAGAGGGTTGTGATCCCCCCCCCCCACCTCCCATTAACACACCCCTGTTCCAAACTATAATCCCACAAAGTTTGGTTGAGATTGACCCAGCAACTATTCTGGGGTTGTACTAAAAAGTGTTAGTAGATGAATTAAAAAGAATTACACAGTAACATAAAAAGTTAAGTACAATAGAAAAGGAAACATTTTCTTACTGTAAAATTGTATGAGAATCACTTTATGAATGTAAAGGAAATAATTAACTGAGCTTGAGTCATATCTGGTGGTGATAGCATTTTGATTGCTACAACTTTTACCACTATATTTGTGTGTAATTTTTTTTTGTATTTTACTTGTTTTTAATCTTTTTTATGTTAAAGGTATTTCTTTAACTTTTCAAGGTTTCACGTCTTTAGTTGAAGCAATTCATTAATATTTTCTTTATTGATTGGCACATCTTTTATTGGTGGAAATAAGTTAAAATCCACATTATTTTATTGTGTCAGTGTAAAGTATGCTTGTATTAAATGTTGTTAGTGCTCTTTTTATATATATCATCAAGAGGATTGTACATTTAGATGTTCTCATTTTGTCTTTTCTTTTAAAGTATCTTAATTAGCCTGAATGCAATCTTATAGTAACATACTTTTTTGTAATGTATTTTTGTTTTTATGCAGTTATTCATTTAAAGTTATTTTTTATATTTTTTAGTATTGTAACTTTGCCAAATACCTTGTGATGATTGTGTATATATTTTGTGTTATGCTCCATACATGAAGTTTCTTTTATCACAATAACTTATCTCCATACACGTTTCATAGCAGAGCATTTTCAGAGAATTATTGAGTAAGAAATGTCTTCAATATATACTTTTTTTTATCATACTTTAACTTTTTTCAATGTTACTTTGTAATTTTTTGTATTTATCCTCAGATGCTTTTTTATGTAACTAATTTTAATTAACTACTGTAGTTATAAAACATTTGAATGATAAAGAACACTTAGTTGAATTGATGGACCAATGGGCTGGTTAAAACAAAAATAACAAAAAAACAGTAATTACAATTTTCTCCATTGCATTTGTAATTAATACAAGTAATGCAATCATTATTTATTATTCTGTAGTGATGAATTCATTCACATCAGGGCTACATTACTTTCAACATGACCATATAAAGCCAAGAGTACTTCAAAATTAGCTTATTACCAAAACTAAAAAAAGATAACATTTGAAGACTGAATCACTAATGCAGTAAATTTATAAAAATTAATTTTTTCACAAATAATAAAATAACTAATTGTGTAATTAATTTTGGTTTCCTTACTTGCTTTTTAATACAACATTTTAAAGACAATGTGGGGGCTTTTTGTTCCTTCAAAGTTCTCTTCATTTCAGTATATTTGTGTGTGTTTAGGTAATTCTATTGATCTGTATTATATAGAGTTTTAGTGTTTACAGCCATCATCATTGCAAAGTATATTTGAGACTGTTGGTCATTTTTTCCTTGACTGCAGTTATAGAATATAATGTGAAGTATACTTGATCATGACTGCAAGCCTGGTATCTTTTATTGAAGAGTTGCAGCATGCATTCCCTAGCATAATGTTCTGTGCTTTATTGATACTTTATATTCTTGTATCAATGGTATAGACTATCGGTAATAATATGAAGTATATTTGAAGTATGTCTATCTTATTAATATTCTTTAAGTAAGTGTCCTAAGCTACTAGAAATAAACATTTTGATTTGCAACTCTACAGCAAGTTTAATAGATTGTCCTTTTCCAAAATATTATCTCAAATAATATAAGCACATAATAAAGATTAAATGACAGTCGTTTAGCCATATAGGTCATTTTTCTACCAACTGAAACAAGTAAACAAAAAATGTAAAACAAAGCTTAATGTAATCCTGCAGACTTGTGTGCCTATTCAACAAATTTATAACAAACCAAGAAATAATTTTTCCAGAGAACAAGTCTAGAACTAGCTTTCCAAAGCTTAAATTAGATTTTCCCCTAATATTCAGATATGCAATTCCAACATTTTGATATTACCATTCATAGGTAGATTATTTAAAGAAAGTTTTTTTTGTTCCTGAACCAAGCCTCTAGTTCTTTCATGCTTCAGAGAAAATAAATATCCAAATATTTAATTGTCTCTCTTGACAAATAGACTTTATTTTTTTAAACAAAGTATTGTTCTACTAGCTGATATGCACTGTCTTCATCACATTAATGTTTTCCAAAATGTTTAAAACTGCACAGTGTTATACATATGAAAAAGGTCTCTCAAAAATTTTACTTAAGATTAGAATAACCTTCTTCATAAGTTAAAAAAGAATTTGAAATATATCCAGGATTCCATTATATCTTTTTATCATTGTCAAACATTGCTGAATATTTAAGGGGCAAACCCCTTAAATCCTTAACTTTTGTTTAACAATAGTCATGCTCTTCTCTTGCAAAATGCAAGATTGTACAAAATCTCTTAGTTTATCATTTAACACTTTCAAACCCTGAAACTCCTTTGCCATGTTATTGTCCAGCTACCAAGGTTGTATAGGTTTTTTTAAAGTGAAATAAGCATCATCAGTAGTATCTCTGCTTTCTAGAATATTACAGTTCAAGAAGCTGTCAAAATCATTGACATTAGTAATGAAAGAATAAAGGTTCTGAAAGAAAACAGTCTCTTAATCAGGTAAATTTCCATGTATCACCACTGTTTTTTATAGTCAAACTTATTTTCTATCCATCTTTTAACTTGTTCACCAACTTTAACTTGTACCTCAACAGGGGATGTTTCTGAAAATCAAATATAAAACATCAGCAGATCAAGGTGCCTTCTACTCATAACAGACAAAAAAGTCATTCTGTCAAAAAAAACAACTAATAAGGCAACAAAACCACTTTCTAAATACATTCTGAGGATTTGATTATTCCTGCATACTTTACAAATGCTCCGTTAAATGTTCTTTCGTACACAATAGATTCCCACACACTCCTAACAACAGAATTTAAACAAATGTAGTCGGATTATTATTTATAGGTTATTTTCTAAACTTTAAGCTGAGTTGTAGTTTTGTTTTTAATTGTGTATATAATGTATTTTTTGGTGTATAAGATGCACTTTTTACTCCAAAATTTGATGTCAAAATCTGCTTGCGTCCTATACACCATAGGTATGAATAATATATATATATATATGTATATATACGATATACACAAGCCATGTGCAAGTATATTTAAATAGGCTTGCATAGTTTAGTTCAATTACATGTGTCATTTATAATAATAGTAGTTGTTATTTTT